GATGCTATCTTGAACTCATTCAAATCAGTGTTCATGGGGAGGGGAGATGCAGCCTCAAATTCCTACAACTGCAAGTGAACTAGCAGTGGTTTGAGGATGTTGATAATTTCCATAAGAGCTTTCTGGTAAATACCACCTACTAACTCACCTGTTTCCTGGTCATTTATTCCTCCAGACACTCCCTTTCTTTCACTGGAAAATTCCTCCCTGCACCATCTTCAGAGCAAAGATAAGAGATTCTAAAGGAGGGGGAGGTGCAAGCTTGTAATGCCAAGAGGCTGAGGCAGGAGAATCCCAAGTATCAGAGGCAACTTGGTGAGACTCCATCTCAAAAAAAAAGAAAAAGAAAAATGTTTTCTAAGGGCTGGAGAATGTAGCTCAGTAGCAGAATGGCTTGCCTAGAATGTGCAAGTCCTGGGTTCAATATCCACTACCATGAATAACTAAATAACTAAAACTCCAGAAGATCTCTCCTGCCCCTACCCTATCTCCTCTTTCCCCTTCCACACGCAGACAGGATGAATGCAAAATCAAGGTCAGACCATCTCAGGAGCGCTCCCCGACGGGGTGACTCAGGACCTCACACACAGGTGGCAGGGTGCCATCTCCCCTTGAATCTCTCCAGTACATTTCCCACAACTTGAGGTGGCAGGGGAACAATTAATTACTTATTATCATTTCTACACCAGTTCTGTGTGGGGTCCCGGGGCTTGGAAGTGTCTGCATCTCCATGATGGAAAATCTTTCCCAGTTGGTGCTCTGAAGCGATTACTCTCAGCAGGTGGCTATTTTAACTAACACACACCTCTGAGGATATTAAATCAGGAAGTTGACACCATCATAAGACACAGTGACTGCTCCCAAGAGGAAAAATGTATCTTTTCATCGAGCCAGGATTTGAAACGCTCCAATATAACTCTTAGTTTGGAATCACTCTGACAAGCACTTCAAGCTGCATTTAGCGTCTTCATTGCAAACACATCCTTTTTTCCAAGTCTTATGAATCCTAAATTTGAGCCCTCTTCAGACTATGTTTTTTCCAAGATTACTTAAATCCTCTGGAATAACCTAATCATGCATGGTTTCACCTGAGACTGGGTCCAGTTTAAGGAACTCTCCCTCTCCTGTATGTGCACACACACCTCCACCCCCAAAACCCCAGTGTCCTTCCTGAAAAACCAGGGAGAGCCCTTAGGGGAAGGAGGGGCCTGTCTGAAATAGGCAAATGACTTTTCAGTAGCAAAGTTCAATTGTTTGGTGCATGGTTTACTTTTAATCTTGGACTTAAGAGTAAACCTGGGGGCTGGGGATGTGGCTCGGTGGTAGAGCCTTGCCTGTCCTGCCTAAGGCAATGATTAGAGCCCCAGCACCATGGGGTGGGGGGTGGAGGGAAAAGCAGAATTTAGAGAGCAAATTCAATGGTTGTGCAAGAAAATAATTTCATCTACAGTAACCTTCTTTTTAAAAAAATCACTGCACTAGGCTGGGCGCTGGCGGCTAATGTCTGTAATCCCAGCTACTAGGGAGGCAGAGATCAGGAGGACTGGGGTTTGAGGTCAGACTGGGCAAAAAGTGAGACCCTATCTAAAAAATATACAACACCCAAAAAAAGGCTGATGGAGTGGCTCAAGTGATAGCAAGTATGAGACCCTGAGTTCAAGCCCCAGTGCTGCCAAAAAAAAATCATTGCGTATTTGGTTACTAGTAAAGCAAAGAGTTTAATGTTCACATTCTTATCTATGAGAAAAAAAAAATGAAGAGTAGTCTTCAACACTAGAGTAAGACTCCAGAAACATGCAGCTTCCTTGTTTTCTTCCTTATTTTATACCCAGTGTCACCAACTGCTTTGGGCAACAGAGTGGGACCCTGTTTCGTATAGATAATAGATAGACAGATAATATAGTATTAAAAAACAGTCAGGCATGGGGGTGCATGCCTATAATCCCAGCACCCAGGAGGCTGCAGCAAAAGGACTGTGAGTTCTAGGCTAGCTGGACTACATGACCAAGACCCTGCCTCAAAAACTAAATAAATATGTTGACCATTAAAACTATAGATACTGACATAAAAACACTGCTGAGTTCTTAACCCTACATGCTTCTGAAAGGTCATGGCCAAGAGGATGATAAATCTTCACAATTTTGGGGGAGGTTTTTTGGCTACTGGGGTTTGAACTCAGGGCTTCACACTGCTAGCCAGGCACTCTATCACTAGAACCACTCCACCAGCTCAAATCTTCAAAATTTAATTCATGTTCAGAATACATTCAAAAAACATTCTAGCAGGGCAGGGTGGTATACATCTATAATCCCAGCTACTGGGGAAGCAGGAGGACTACAAATTCCAGGTCAGTCTGAGCAATTTAACAACTAAACATAAAATAAGGGGATGTAGCTCAGTGGTAGATGGCGTGCCTAGCATGCCTGATGCCCTGGGTTCAAGCCTCAGTAGGGGTGGTAATAAAAGACTCTTGATCTGGCGACTTTAAGTGAAGCCAACTAGCCAGAGAAGGAGGGCAGAGCCTGGCTAGTGGCTTTGCTATTGTCTTCATTTGACAAATACTGAGAGTCAATCATGAAGCTAAGAGCTTGTGAAATTTCTGATTTCTGATCATCCTGGGTTGCAGCATCCTATGGAGTAAGAGAGACCTGCAACGTGTCTATCAGAACGATGTGAGGGGCAAGGTGGACAGGGAAAATACAAAAGCCCAAATATCTTCTCCTCTGTCCCCCAACCCCCGATGGTGCCTTCCTCCCCCACGGTGTCCCTCTCAGACACCTCTGACATCAGATCATCAATCTCATAAAGATTATTGCTTAAATTAATAGCAACCAAACACCCACACAGTGCTATCTTCTCTTGGTTGAGTACTTTTGTCTGTGGAGAGGTCGTGGGACACCTGCAACTCTCAATTGCTCTTGGTCTATTTGCTAACCTTTTGTGCTCGAAACTGTGACAAAACCTTTCAAGTTGTTTTGCCATTCTCTGCTTCCCTCCTCTGAAAAATTTGTAGGATTCCACCTTAGGGCTTTTTTTTTTTTTTTAGACAGGTCTAGGTCTGCAGCCCAGGTTGGCCTTGAACTCAGTATCCTCCTACCCCAACCTCCCAGGACTGGAATTAAAAGCATGCAACACACCACCACGCCTGGCTCAGGAATACATTCTTAATCTATATTCCTTCTAAAGAAAACCAAATGAGTCATTAGAAGGCTACCAGAAAAAAAAAAAATTGCTTTTAGTTGAAATGGGTAATGACCTGTAAGTACCTTGAAGTTCATATCTTACTACCCTTTGATAAATCTGTAGAAAGAAGCCACAACCTCAAACGCCTTGGGACAGCGCCTAAGAGTTGATGAGATTTCATCTAAAAAAAAGCGAGTCACATAGTTGAAAATGTCCATTTCCATTTATTTAAATTGATCAGTGATCGCCAGCTGTCACAATTTGTAGGCCTGCCCTTTCTAAAGATTCAAGTTTTAGTGCGAAACAACGAAGGCTCGGGGGAGTGCTGCCTTCAGAGGCCAATCACGGCAGGAAGACGGCCTCTGCCTCGGTTAACACTGATGAGATGCCCAAGCCACCAACGCTTCTGCAACCTCACTTAATAATCCTAGCCTAAAAAGTCACCTGTGCCTCTGGGCGGCCCAATCATGTGTTTTCAAGAATGAAAAAAAAAAAAATCTGTTTCTTTTACGGAAAAAGACTCGTCACTACAGAAAACACGACGAGGCTGTATGATTATCTGCTTTTCCAAAAGCTGACGTCTTGAAAACCTTTTTATAACCCCTTTACTTCCCACTAAATATGGCAGGGTCGGAAGGAACGGGCGAGACAGGAGCTAAAGAGTGAAGAGAAAGGCGGGGAAATAGTTCCAAATGGGGACCCCTACGGAAGACTCGGGGACAGTAGTTAGAAGGAACATCCAAACCCACCTTACCTCCGGTAAATACTCCAGTCGCCCACTTCGGAAATTAACACCATTCACACACAGCTGAGCAGCAATTGACACAGCTAGGAAGCAACCTACCGCATCTTCGCCCTCTTTTTCATGTAAAACCAAAAGGATTGTGTCCAGCTACTCCCCCACCGGGCCGCTGCCAGCCACCGACCGGTTGAGGCTTAAGTCCCAGGCCCTGGGAACTTCAGTGAGTCCCAATTTCCCAACTTTTGGAGACCTGCGCAGAGAATCTCCCCACGAGTAGACAACTCCCCCCAAAAAAGCCTGACTTCTCACTGTCCCAGGCTGCACATTCCAAAGTGGGGAGCAGGGGCGGGAACCCGCGGGCGGCTCTCGGGGGCTCGATTCCCGGCACGATCAAGATCGTGACCCGCAGGGCGCGGCGGGGGCGCGCGGTGCGGTGCGGTGCGCGCGGTGCGGTGCGGTGCGGATCGGTGCGCGCGGGGAGCGCTCAGTGCCGGTTCTCCGGCCCTTCCCTGTTCCCCGCCGCCCGCCTCCCGCGGCCCTCCCCCAGCCGGGGCCATTGGCCTCACAGTAGCAAGGTTGTCTCTGTCTACTCCCTTCCCTTAAACTCACCAAACCAGATTTTTACTCCCAACACCGGCAACTTCCCGTAAATCTGCACTGAAATTTTATCCTCCTCGCTGAGCCTCCGCTGGCCAAAGGCCAGTGCAACATTCCTGTTGTTTTAGGAGCGCAGATACCTTAGCTGAAGGTTAAAAAAAAATCGGCCTTGATGGAGAGATTTAGGGACTTCACCAGATGGACTCCTCTTCCCTGCTCAGAAAGTCACATCCATTTCACACAAGCCAGATCGGACCCCAGAAGTGGCACCTGTTCTACCTGGGGACATCGGTGCGAGTCCCGGTCCCCGTCGGGCTGTCCAAAGAAGTCCAGCCTGAGCCACGTTTGAGGACTGCGAGATCCTGCGTCTGAATCGCGGGCCGATCGGTCCCTCCCACCCCGGCCTTGGGAGCAGGTAGGATGGCAGCAAGCCCCGCGGCGGGCCTAGAGGACGCAGGACCTCCCCGAGCGTCCTTACCTGCGGAACAGCATGGCTCGAACGAGCGCAGGAAGGCACGTCACGCGGACCGAGCCCTGACCTTAGCGGGGCCTGCACAGCAGGGCCTGGGGCCTGGGCGCCGCGCCTTCAAAGTGGTTCATTTTAATGCGCTCTGACCTGGTGTTACAGCTGGTTTCTAGAAAGGGAACAAAAACAGTGCACTGAGCAACTGCAAGCCAAGCCCTCTCCGAGCTAACCTTGCCTGATCGCCGGGGAGCTGGCTCGAACTCCGACCCCGGCCCCTCTCCCACCCACCCCACCCCACCCCCGCAGTACCTGTTTATACAAGAGTTAAGCGGCCTCCTGCATTTCAATCGGACGATAAGCCTGTGTGTAGGCGCGGAATCAGCCTAGAGGAATCGAATTCGGTGACTAAACAAACCAGAAGAGGAAGCGGGCACCACCGGGAGCCTAAACCGGAGTTGTGATTTCGGGTTGCAATGTCATATGCAACTGAGAAAAAAAAAAAAATACCCTTTCTTATTGGGCCATTTTAAAGAAGGAATGTCCTACAAATACATACGTCTGTACAAAATTTTGCTGCTTAAATGGGTTCACACACACGAAGAACTTAGAAGGGTACCTGGCGCCTAGTCATGTCTTGTTATTTTATATTGTGGCCTTTCTTTTCTGAAAAGCAGAAGGTGGGGTCAGAGTGAGATGTGGACTCCAGGCCCAGCGTGACCACACACTGGCTATGAGGTCAACAGCAAGTTGTTTAACTGCCCTCCCCCCAACTTCTGGAAGATTCTAAGGACAGAAGCTCTGTGGCTTACATTCATTGTGGACAGTGAAAAATAAAGTCTGAAAAAGGATGGACAAGTGATTTTGGCGTCACTTAGAAGTTCCAAGGGCAACAAGTGACAGGGAGATACTTTTGTTCTGCGTTCCAGGAAGCTCGCTAATAGAAAGAGAACTCAGGACAGAGCTATCAACCGGCCGTGTATCTTAACTCTGATTTGCATTTAGGCACTTGACCTGCTGTCTAACCCTGAAAGTTACTCATCCTGTTCAGTTAGAAATTAGTGCCCTGTGAAAACTGGGCAGGGCCATTTGAAAACTTTGTGAAATAGGTTTTAAAACTCTTGAATATTAAAAAGTGATTATTAAAGATTAATATGTGATCAGTCTCCACCCTGTCTTCCATTTAGCTTCACATTTAAACAGAGAAATCATAATTCTTTACATTAATGAGCTCATTTGTACTTTACACAGCACTTTCACCCCCCCCCCACCTTATCTGATCCTTACCCACAAGCAGCGCTTTTTATCTTCCCTGGGGAGAAGGAGGGGATGGGGTTTGGACCCAGGGCCTCCAGCATGCTACGCAAGCCTCTGCCATTCCAGCCCCGCCCTCTCCAGCACCCTTTTTTGTGGTTTTTGAGACAAGATCTTGCTGTGTAGCCCAAGCTGGGCTGGCACTTGGAGACCCTCCTTCCCTCCTGAGGGCTGATTTATCCCCAGTTTGGAGATGAAGACACTGCAGTCCCAGAGGTTAAGTAATTAGTCCATGTTTTTCCCTGAGTGGTGAGTTGAAGACTATTTTCCAGGTCGAGTTAACTCTAAAAGCATTATTTTACCACCTTTAGGAAAGGTGATTCCTTAAAGCCAGTCAAAAACTCTGAAATACTTTAGATCCTTTTGATCTTTTATCTTCCTATGCAGCAAAATTTAACCCAGACCAATCCACCATTTTCTAAATTCTTGTCCACACAGGCCAGTCAGCACTGGAACAAAATGCAGTAGGAAAATTCCTGGGTTCTCACACCATGCCTGAGGGTTGACACCAACAGGCATGCTGGTTCCACCACCCTAAGGCAACTTGAAACCCCAGCCCTACTCTGGCCTGAATTTTTCTTTTCTTTCTCAGAAGTATTTAGACTGTGGCCTAAGAGACTCAATGTCAGGGACCCTCTGAGCTCAGTATTCAAGAGGGACTATTCTCTGACTCACAGATTTTTCCACTTTGGACAGGTTTTTCAGCAGGAAGCACTGGGCCAAAGGCTAGGGTATAATGACCAGGAAGGAATTATAGAATGAGTGTGAAAAAGCTGGGGTAACTCTGAGTGTGGTAGTGCACATCTGTAAGCCCAACACTCAGGAATCTGAAGATGGAGGACTGTGAGTTTGAGGCCAGCCTGGGTTACATAGTGGGATCCTGCCTCAAAAAAAAAAAAAAAGATGGAGCTGTAGCTCTGTGGTGGAAGGCTTGCCTAAAACTAAAATGAATGTGAATTTGTAACAATCAGTAGAGCTGCAGCCAGGGAATATAGCCTCCAGGAGGCCCAGGATCCAGGAAGCAAGTCCTCCTGGGGGCTCTGAGTCTATTACTTTCTCTTCTTAGTTCTGCCCACTGGCGCCTATGAAGTAAGTATAATTTGTATTCCTACTTTCCTCTGCTCTCCCCTGGAATATGGCAGACAAGATTATTTTTGTTGCCCAGAGTGATGCTTCAAGCCTCACAAATAAACAAAATAGACTTTTTTCCTTTTTCTTTTTGGTGGTCCTGGGGTTTATGAACTCAAGGCCTCACACTTGCTAGGCAGGCACTCTATTACTTGAGGCATTCCACCAACCCCTTTTTGTGTTAGACACATATTTTCCAGATAGGGTCTCACTTTCATTTTGCCCATGCTGGCCTTGAACCTAGATCTTCCTGATCTCTGCTTCTGGAGTAGCTAGGATTACAAGCACGAGCCACTAGCACCTGGCTAAAAAAAAATATATATATATATACATATATATTTTATATATATATATTTTTTATATATTTATATATTTTTTTGTGGTATTGGAGTTTGAACTCAGGGTCTACACCTTGAGCCACTCCACCAGCCCCTTTTTGTGTTGGATATTTTCAAGATAGAGTTTCGCTTTCATTTTGCCCAGGCTGGCTTCAAACTGCTCTGCCTCCTGAGTAGCTAGGATCACAGGCTGTGCTACCAACACCCACCAAAAATGGATTTTTTTTAAGTGGCAGGTGATGGCAAAAGAAACTTAAGCCTTCCTTCTTTCTTTATTGAGGCTGACCATCATGCCTGTTTATTTATTGTTGTTATTTTAATTCTCAGAGCAAGGGGGGTGGGGTTGGGGGGGGAGTGGCACAAACAATGTATACACATGTAAGTAAATGTAAAAATTATAAAATAAAAGGAAAAAAAAAACAATTCTCAAAGAAAACCCCATCCTCCTGGGTCATTTTAGTTTTCTAGACCCCTCTCTGCCTTTGTGTTTCTGTTTCTGTCTTTCCCTTCTGTCTTTGAGACAATGTTCTGGAGATTGATTTCTAATAGATTTGAATTTGAATCTCAATTTCACCTCTTGGCAGTTAGGACAAATTGCCTAACTGCTCTGAACTTCAGCTCTTCGTCTGTGACATAGCAACATGTACCCCAGTGGGTTTCCTTGAGTTAAATGAGAGGTGAATCTTCAGCATGATTTCTGGCATTTAGAAAGTACTCAGGAAGTGACATTTCCTTTTGTAAATGGAAAAAACCTAGTCTAGGGTTCACAAAGAATTGTCTTTTCCATATTCAAATCTTAGCTCGAAGAACGCTGTGCCAAGACACCCTCATCCAAAGAGGCAAGTTCAGACCTTTGTAAAGAACGCATTATAATATTAATGACTCCGTGCATAACACCTCCAAAGATACATGTATGACCACTCTGATCAGTGTGAGGAAAGAAAGGGTATGGCCTAAATCATTTACAGCGCATGCCCCATGGCTCAGATTAGGAAACCGAGGTCCTTAGCAGTTGCTGGAAATTTCTAATAAGTAACAGCCAGGGTTTTTTTTTTTTTGCTTGTCACTATTCCACACTGCCAGAACTATGGCTACTCTTGAGCGGGTTCAAGGAGCTCTGAAAGATTGGTTTAGTTCTAAGTTGGGTTGTGGGGGAAGGGCCAAGTGATTCTAGCCAGAGCTTCCAAACACATTTTGGAGTCACTAATCCAAAAGAACACAGTTACAGATTTGTGCCCTGTGAGATGTGAGGCATGCCAATTCCACAGAGGAAGTTTTCAACTCTCTGACCAGCCGTAGGACAATAGTGCAGGGGGTGGAAGTTAGCAAAGTTGGCTTCATGGCAGGTGTGGGGTCACAGGCATCTTCCTACCCTCAGAGCCTCAGCTTGCTGCTGCTGGTGCTACCTACCTCCCCACTCACCATGAGGATTGAGTGAAATCACAAATACACACACACAGCCCCCAATCTTTTTTTTTCTCATCCTGGTGCTGGGGATCAAGCCCAGGGCCTCACCAATGCTAGACCAGCGATGGTCCACTGAGCTACACCCACCAAGCTAGGTAATTTTCAGCATACATCAGTTATCTTTCTTAAAATCATAGACCATGAACTAAAATGGCCCCCGTAAAGCCTAAACACACAGTAATGCAAAGAGCTTAAAACAGTAGGGCACATGGTAATTGCAATATAGCTGCTGTTATTGTTATTTCTCTGCGTGACAAGGCTTTGCTATGACAGTGATGAGGTCATGATAACTAACTATTGGATGGGGTGACTGGGGTGTTTTTTCTTTATTTTTCGTGGGAACTGACCTTTTGGGTCCCATTTTACAGTGTTAGGAACAGCAATGTCCTCACAAAGATTTTACTTTCTCCCTGTTTTCCTTCATTTCTCCTAATTTTACCTGAAACAATACTGAGGTAGGATTAAAAACCCCCACCTGGCCCAAGCTTCCTATAGAGGCTGGTGAGATTTTCCCAACAAAAATTCTTCAAAAACTGAATCCTATTTTAATCCAGAACACACAACTTGACCTACAGTCCTCTCCTCACCACAGTTTCTCCCCATATGGGGACCACACCCATTTGTTTTGTTTTTTAAGACAAAACAAAACTTTTCATTCCCAACTTTTATATCAAATCCCCCGTGGTTCAAATATGTACAAATGCAAGACACGTTATTCTCAGGTACTCTCATCCAAAGGATTAAGCCCACCGGCCAACCCCAGAGAGCAGTCTGTCCCCAAAAGGTGACAGGGCCATTCAGAAATCTATTAGGAGTCTAGTTTGGCAGCTTCTATGCCACACGGTAGGAGGGCCCCTAACTGAATTTTAAAAATTTACTGAGTTCACAGAAAAGGGAATTAAGTATAGCAGGGGTTCCCTCTGAACCTTAATCTCAGAAGTCAAATCCTTCATTTTGAGAAAGGCCTTCAACACAAGGAGTCCCTTGACCTTCGTTCTTGCACAAATAGCTCTGCCAAAGCCTGCCCCGCTGAGCGGGAGGGAGCACGCATGTAAATTATAGGCTCTTAAAGGCCCACTCAAGACCGAGAAATGGTTTTGTTATGGCAACAAATGCTAT